TGTCTCTCTCACTGTCCACTCTGCCTGTCAAAAAAAAAAAAAAAAGATTTGTTTATTTATTTGAAAGACAGAATGGCAAAGAAAGAGGGACAGGAGCCCAAGTATTTGAGACATCATTTGCTGCCTTCCCAGGCACATTAGCAGGGAGCTGGATTGGAAGCAGAGCAGCCAGCACTCAGATAAGGGATGCTCATGTCACAGGTGGGGCTTAACCTGCTGCACCACAACACCTGCCCCAACTCCCTACTGTGATTTCTTTGGGGCGTACACCTGGAACTGGAATTGTTGGAACACATGGTAATTCTCTGTTCATTTTTTTGAGAAATTACCATACCATTTTCCACAAGGGCTGCATCATTTTATATTCCCACCAGCAATGCATAAGATTCCAATTCCTGGATGTGAAGGCGATCTGGCTGCGACATTTGTCACCCCATTGATCACCAGGGTTGATTCGGCTGATCTGGCTGGCTAGGCGGGTGTCCCCTTCCTCCCTCACCACTCCATGTGCATCCCTCCCGAAGCTGCGCACTCGGACGAAGAGGACGACCTTCCCCGCTAGAGGAGGACCAGTCTTCGATCAAGGGTATACGAGTAGCTGCGCTCCCCTGCTAGAACCTCCAAACAAGCTCTCAAGATTCCAATTCCTGCACATCACTGTCATCATTTATTCATTTTATTTTTTTTAAGATTTATTTTATTTATTTGAAAGACAGAATTACAGAAAGAGATAGAGACAGAGAAAGAGAGAGGTCTTCCATCTGCTGGTTCACTCCCCAGATGGCCACAACGGCCGGAGCTGAGCTGATCCGAAGCCAGGAGCCAGGAGCTTCCTCCAGGTCTCCCATATGAGTGCAGGGGCCCAAGGACTTGGGCCATCTTCTTCTGCTTTCCCAGGCTATAGTAGACAGCTGGATCGGAAGTGGAGCAGCCGGGAACCGGCACTTATATGGGATGCTGGCGCTTCAGGCCAGGGATTTAACCTGCTGTGCCACAGCGCCGGCCCCCTACTTATTCATTTTAAAACAACACCAGCACAGACATTCAGCCTGGTAGCTAAGGTGTCCACGTTTCACATCAGATTACAGGAGTCTGACACTGGGCTCTGGCTCCTGGCTGCAGCTTCCTGTGAATGCAGACCCTGGGAGGCAGTGGCGATGGCTCAAGTAGCTCAGTTCCTGACACCCATGTGGGAGGACTGGAATTGTGTTCCTGGTTTCAGGCTTTGGCCTCTTGTGCTTTCTCTTTCTCTCTGCCTCTCAAATACACTTTTTAAAAGTTAAAATAGACAATTTTAATGAGTCTGTTTGAGATTTTTGCCTTTTTACTGGGAGACTTCTTTTTCTCCTAAAGACGTATTTCTTTTATTATAATTTTTTATTTGCAAGGCACAGTTACAGGCGGGGGGGGGGGGGAGAGAGAGAATTTTCCATCCATTGGTTTACTCCTCAAATGGTCTCCATAGCAAGGTCTGGGGCAGACCAAAGCCACGAGCTTCTTACAGGTCTCCCACATGGATTCAGGGGCCCTAGCACTTGGGCCATCCTCTGCTGCTTTCCCAAGCACATTAGCAGGGAGCTGGATGGGAAGTGGAGCAGCCAGGACACAAACAGGCACCCATATTGGAAGCAGGCACCACAGGCGCAGCTTTACCTGCCACACCACAGCACCAGCCCCAGGGAACTTCTTAAGATGAGGAAGTCCCAGGTCCTTTTGTGGCAGGGTGGATGATTCAGCTGGAAAAAACCTGGGTATGGAGGTGGCTCCTCACCACCCTTGAGCCTTCCTCCATCTCCCAACAGCTGGGCAGAGACTCAGCCACCCAGCTGCCAGCCACTGTGCTTCTCCCTCAGGTCCCCTGGCTACTCTTGAGCCTGCTGAGCTTTGTAAGGATGCCCAGGAAAGCCCAGGAGACAGCAGGTGAGAGGAAGAAGACTGGAGACAGGCAGGCGCTTCTACAGGGCAGAGTGGGCAAGGGCAGAAAGGGCATGATGCCCTGACCCTGCACGGGCAATGGACATCAGCAGCAACATCCCAGCCCCTCTCCCAGTGATGCTCAGGGAAGCCCTGGGAGCGAGGACCAACAGCAGGGAGGGATGGTCACAAATGAAGACCCAGAGATAAAGCGACTTCCAGCAAGACCCGGGGAAAGGTTAGCCCCAGCGGCATGAGGAAAGTCTAAGACCATGGTGCTTCCTACAGGCAGAAGCACAGAAGTGTGGGGAGACCAACGATGGATTCTGGGAGCCTAAGACCAAAGTCAACCCAAAGAGGAGAACTGACTTACCCGGAGTCACACAGTGAGTGGGAGGGCTGAGGATGCCAGGGCTATGGCCACTGTTGGTGTGGCTTCCTCCCGGTTGACATCCCAGGCTCCCTGTCTGGTGACCTGATACCCTTACTGTCCATATTATACCACGGTATCCTCACATCCTGTCTACCTCTCGGCGGCGGCCCTGGCACCCATCCTCCTGATGTGCAAATGGCCTGGGAGTGCCATGTTCCTTGGGTTTCTGGTGCATTGACCCTGGGGCCTCAGGATCACCCCTGTTCTGCAGACTCCTAGGCCTCACAGCCCGGGTCCAGGGCCTGAAGCCCAGATGAAGGCAGCAGCCACATTTCCTGTCGGGGACTCTGCCAAAGCAGGAAATGAGCCTGGTCTGGCACGACCAGCTCAGCCAACAGATCTCATTTCCTTTCTGCCGGGGTAAGAAGTTCCAGCTCTAGGGAGAAACTAGGAATGCTTGAACTCCCACCTCCTGCAAGAACTAAGAGGCAGGGAGCTGAGCCGGCTGGAAACCTGGGCAGAGGAATGTGGTCATCCTGCACCTCCCACTCAGAGCAGCCAACTCTGCAGGCCTGGGAGGTTCCCATCCTCACACCTCCACAGGCACCCAGCCCTGGGAACCACCCCCCCTGTTGATTTGGCCCCCAGAAAGAGGTGGGACGTGGGGGATCAGGGTCCACCAAATCCACTCTCCCAACTCCTAAGCACTGCCTGGTTCCATCGTGGATCTGGGTCCTGTGTGAACTAGCAAAGGAAAGATGGCATTTCTGGAGAAACTGGCTCCGGAGGGGACCGCTGAGGCCGGGATCAAGGACTGTGAGGACCCACCAGCAGCAGAACACAGAGGGGAGGGAGCAACGTTAGGCTGCAAGGAAGCCGTGGGTGAGATCAGCCAGGGGCTGCCCAGGGCTGCGACCCACCACAGGCCAACTGTCAGCCAGCCACCAACTGCTGCGTTGTGGGCTGCAGTCTGGGAGACACACAGCTGGGGCACGCTGCCGCTGGCAAGGGCCTCTTCCACCCCTAGTGGTTTCCTTATTGCTAGGGGTTTTTACCAGGGGCTTCCTTATTGCCAGGGCCCCAGGCGACCTCCAGAGAAATGGCCAAGCCTGTGAGCCTGTCCTTGGCCCCGCTCCTGCCCCGTTCCTTGGAGCACAGCAGTGGGAGGTCGGCGTCAGGGACCTGGGTAACCGCTAAGACCCCTTTTAAGGGCATCTGATTAAATTTTCTGGGACAAGGGCCGGCGCCGCAGCTCACTAGGCTAATCCTCCGCCTAGTGGCGCCGGCACACCGGGTTCTAGTCCCGGTCGGGGCGCCGGATTCTGTCCCGGTTGCCCCTCTTCCAGGCCAGCCCTCTGCTGTGGCCAGGGAGTGCAGTGGAGGATGGCCCAGGTGTTTGGGCCCTGCACCCCATGGGAGACCAGGAAAAGCACCTGGCTCCTGGCTCCTGCCATCGGATCAGCACGGTGCGCCGGCCGTGGCGGCCATTGGAGGGTGAACCAACGGCAAAGGAAGACCTTTTTCTCTCTCTCTCTCACTGTCCACTCTGCCTGTCCAAAAAAAAAAAAAAAAAAATTCTGGGACAAGAAGCTTTAGTTGATTTTATTTTTGTTTGAAAGGCAGAGTGACAGAGAAAGAGATCTCTTCCATCCCCTTGTTTAACTTGCCAAACACTGGCAACAGTCAGAGCCAGGCCAGGCTGAAGCCAGGAGCCTAGAACTCCCTCCAGATCTCCCATGTGGGTGGTGGGGATCCGAGTACTTGGGCCATCACCTGTTGCCTCCCATGGTGCACATCAGCAGGAAGTTGGCTCATTAGGCAGGCGCCCCAATATGGGATGCTGGCACCCAAAGCAGCAGCTTCACCTGCTGTGCCCCAAGGCCTGCCCCAGAGAACACTTATTTTAGATAATACCATTTAAGTTACATTATGAGCAACTTGTGCAGAGAATTTTTAAAAAATATTTATCTATGTATTTGGGAGGCTGAGAAGGAGGGGGGGGAAGAAGGAGAGGAGGAGAGAGAAGGAGAGGGGAGGGGAGGAGGAGAGAGGAGAAAAGGAGAGGAGAGGAGAAAGAAATCCTATCCACTGGTTTACTCCCTAAAATGCCCTTACTGGGCCAACGCTGGAAGCCAGACATTCAAGCCTTCCATACGGGTTGCAGGAACCCAATCATTTGAGCCATCACCACTGTCTCCCCAGAGTGTGCATTAGCAGAAGCTGGGGTCAGGAGTGGAGGTAGGTACTGAACCTAGGTACCCCAACATGAGATGAGCAGACATCCTAACCAGTGTATGACCAGCTAGGCCAAACGTCCATCCTGGCTCAGAGACTTGCATCTGAACTGTGCTGGCCCCAACTGTTGAAAGCAGAACGTGGCTTGAGAAGTATTGGTAGAAATTCTACCTTGAAATGGCACCGGCTACTGGACAGAGAGAACCTGGGAGGGATCAGCCACTGTCACCTCTCGTAAGCCCCTGCTCTTCTGTAGGAAGGGAATAACACCATGTGGAAAACGAGGCTTCGATTCCAGGGATGCCCGCCCTGTCCCTGGGTGGTGCACAGCCAGGCAAAGTACCACCTCATCCCAGGCGCCCCAACACCCCACCCCTGGAGGGAGGCGATCTCTGCTTCCCACAGATCTCCCGGCAGGCAGCTCCTGCTCCGGGAGAGCCTTAACCCACTGCGTGAGAAAAACACGAACCACCTACAGTTACAAAGACAGGGTCATTTATTCACGTTATATTACTGGATTTTAAAGGCAAAAATACAATTCTGTTTTGAACACCAAGGTCAGACACTCCCCTTCCTCCCCTTCCCCACGCCACCCCACCCTGGGCTTACAATGGTAAATACACACATTGCATCTGTGGGAAATCAAATGACACAGCACAACAGGTCTCTAGGACACAGATACCGTCCTCTGGGCCACCCCCTGCCCACTCCAAAGTCGGTGGAGACCCAGGCCCAGAGAGCATGGCATATTCTTCCCCTTCCTGTGCCACCTCTGCCCTCGGCGCTTGCCCAAAGGCCACCTTGCACCGGGATGGGGAGAAAGAGAGAAAGGCACAGCAGGGACAGCGTGGTGGTGAAGGTCACGCTTCCTGACCCCGCGGCCCTGCAATCCCCCGTGAGCAAACATGGCCCGCAGCGCCTCTGGCCAAGGCCAACGTGCCCAGCGGAGACCCAGGACAGCACTGGAAGGCTGGCACACAGGGCAGCAGGAGCAGCAGAACTCTCCTTGGTTCTGAAAACGAACCACATACTGGACATGATTGAAAATCAACAGGCACAAAGGAAAAGGTAGAGATTTACAGGTCAAGGCAGTCATCAGGAAGTTCCCGCTCGGGGCATCTGACCCTTTCTTTTAAGGCACTTTGGCAAAGTCAGGGTCTGGGGACAGAGAGAGAGAGGCCTTCACTCTTTGCATTTCCCAAAGCTCGCTCTCATTCCTAGTTTTACTACCACGGTGATGAAGGAACGAGAAACTGACAGAAGAAATACTCTTTGCATAGCCCAGCTGCGGCTGCAGTGGAAAATAATTTTCAACCAATACCAAGGCTTTTGGAAACAGAACCAAAAGTTCGCATCTGAGATGCTCAAAGGAATAAAGGCACAGGTTAAGACTGGGGCTGGGCACCAGCTCAGCCTCCACACTGAGGGCAGTGGGGCCCAGGGCGGTGGCTGGGGGTCCAGGCTGCCACCCTGGAGGCAGGCGGCTGTACCCGGGCACCTTGGCCTGGGTGCTCAGTGGTAGGAAGTGCCTCTTATGTCCTATCCATCTCACAGCAGAAGTGGCCTTCCGTGAAGCACCTGTGGGTTAGCTCACAGCGAGGTGGGAGCACCTGCGAAAAACCCAGGGGGGACAGGAGGTGGGAGGCCCCCTTACAGTTCTCAGGACGGGGTGGGGAGGTGGGTTCAGCTAAACTTTTTTCCAGATCGTAATTCAAAGGCACATTCGTGCTGGAGGATGAATAGTCTGTTTGACCCTGAGTGCCATGGGTGAGAGGCAAAGGAACATGAAGGGAGGAGGAGGAAGGAGAGAGGCAGGGCCCGAGAGAAAGGGGAGGCAGGAGGAGGACTGGGAATGCGGGGGGGGGGGGGGGGCAAGGGTGGGAGTGGAGGCGCCCCAGGGAGGCCCCCGCCGGAGCCAGAGCGGAGCCAGAGCGGAGGTGGAGGCGCCAGGCGCTGAGGGTTGGGAAACACCCTGGTAGCTGTTAGTTACAGCCCACAGCCAGGGCCCTGAGGGGTCAATCGGAAGCGGCTGAGGTTCCCGCCACCCTGCCCACCTGGGGAGGGCGGGGGAAGTGGGCAGCTGTGCCAGGGAAAGCAGAGGCTCCTGTCTCCCAGGTCTCTCTGCCCCAGGTCTGGCACAAGAGTGCTGACCGGGAGGCTTTGCGCTCGTCAAGGGCCCCGAAGGTGACTTTGCTCCGCACAAAAAAACCTGGCCTGCAGCTGCATCAGAGGCCCATTTGTGGCCATGACAACATAATTATTTTTTTAATCCCCTAAAAAAAAAAGTTCAATCCCGTCCCCACATTTAAAACACCACAATAAAAATACATAGGAAATTCAAGTTTACATAGCATGCTCAGAAAAATAAATTGTCATGACTTAACGCTAAAGAGCCTAGGCAGATTTGGATCAACACTTAATCACACTAGATCACAAGCAGAACTCGATTTGTTCTTTCTTTAAAATACTACAAACTGCTACTTAAAAAAAAAGTCTTTACATTCAGAAATCCATCGGGAGATAGGCCACTGAGAACAGCCATGGCTTTTGCTCTGATGGCTAAAGTCGCCTTGGAATTCACACTCGAGCAGGATCAAATGTCCAAGGCTTAGAATTCTGCTGAGAAGAGACTCCACACACAGGGACTGTAATGGCTGCCCACCACTGAAGGACGGTGGTGGGGAGGGGACAAATGAAAATGTTACAGATTTTGTGTTTTTCCATTAAAAATGTGACAACCACAACCACACACACACAAGGACAACCAAAAAATAGCACATCGATGCAGTTTCAGCAGCAGTCAGCCATTCTTGATGAAGTTGGAAGCACACCACCAGTAATTCTCAGCCATTTCCAAACAACCGAGCAGTCCTCCGGCTGGGAGTGAGCTCCACGGTCCCCGCATTTGGGGCCGCACAAGGTTCTGCCTCTCTACGGTGACACCATGAGTCGGTCAAACTCCCTCACCCCTCCAAAACAAAACAGAAAGGCCGACAGCTTCTACACTGACAAACACCTGATAGAGCGAAGAAGTCACATGCCCAGCCACACTGGGGGAACATTTCCCACTGGTCCTGGTCATCTGGAGAGGCTTCTAGATGCTGAGCGCAGGGCACCTGTCGCTCAGACGGCTACAAACCAAGAGGGGCCAGCCCAACAGAGAATGGCAGAGACCCAGCAGTGGTCTCCGGCCATCTTCAGGTCTCTCATTAGTGTGCCACGACGCTAGCTTGGTGTCCCGATGTCCACTGTGATTTTGGTGTACAACGGGTTTCTCTGTATGTCCAGCACCTGGTAGGTGAGTGAGTTCAAGCCGTCGGAGCGCATCGTCTCCTTAGTGTGTGCGATGCGGTCAAACCTGCAGGAAGAGCACAAGGGCGAGGGGGCGGCGTCAACACACAAGCCCCGCCCCTGTCCGGCCCTGCCTCTGCCGCACTCGCAGAGCTTCCCTCCCGCCGCCTGCCCAGCGCTAAGGCGGAAAGAACTTGTAAAAGGACATAGACTGCACCTCTGAGGGTTGGGTTCATTCTTCTTGTCTCTTGAGTGGCGGATCATGCGACACCTCCCAACTACAGCATTTGGGCGAGATATGGACATGCCTCTGAAAACTAACCTGCAAAGAGTGAAGGGACAAGTCAGGAGCACAGAGAGGCCAGCGCTGGAGCCCGGGGCCCCGCCCTGCTCCGTTCGCTGTTCTCCGACACACGGCCCTCCCACCCCGGCTCCACGTCCTTTCACGACTGCGTCTGCAGCTCGTGGTGTCCACACTGGAGGTTGTCTGCCCCCCCTCCCACCACAGGACATGGGCTTTCTGTGGCCAGGGGGAAGGTGAGGCTGGGGGCACTGAGGAAGAAGTAAGTAACTGCCGGGGTAAGAATGAACTGGAGCTCCTAGCTCCAGCCTGGCTCAGTCCTGAATGTTGCGGCCATTTGGGGAGTGAACCAACGATGGAAGACCTCCCTCTCTGAGTCTCTCCCTGTTTCTGTAACTCTGCCTTTCAAAAAAAAAAAAAAATGCAGATGACACAGCGAGCATGGGGACCTCAGAGATCAATAGAGGCTTCCAGCAACAGCCATGCCCCCCCCCTTTAAGATTTATTTTATTTATTTGAAAGGCAGAGTTACAGAGAGAGAGGTCAGTCTTTCATCTGTTGGTTCACTGCCCAGATGGCCTCAATGGCTAGAGATGGGCCAATCTGAAGCCAGGAGCTTCTTCCGGGTCTTCCACATGGGTGCAGGGGCCCAAGGACTTGAGCCATCTTCTACTGCTTTCCCAGGCCATAGCAGAGAGATGGATCGGAAGTGGAGCAGCCAGAACTTGAACCAGCGCTCATATGGGATGCTGGCACAGCAGGCCTGGGCTTTAACCCACTATACTACGGCGCTGGCCCCTCTGAGCCCTTCTGAGACCTGAAAGGGTCTGGACAGGCAGGGGCAGGGGCTGAGGCAGAAAAGGAGGGCAAAGGCTAAAGCGTCTGGAGCAGCTTGCCTGCCTGCCATGTTTCCCCAGTGGCTTTGGCCACGCCCAGATCTCTCTGGCAGGGAGTTCTAGACCAGAAGGCAGAGAACAGGACAAGAGGCAGCCAGCACAAGGCAGGGGGGTCTCTGATGGTCCAAGGAAAAGGAGTGAGGACCAAAATGCAAGCCTGGACAGCAGGAACTCCCACGAGAGGGAGGACTGGCTGATCCTGGATGAGGCAGGGGCTGGGGCTCCCGTGAGCGCTGATCCCAGAGCCCTGCTCAGAGGCAGGAGGGGCATGGGAGGAGCTACAGACTTTATCTCTTGAGAAAGGCGCCTTACCCATCCTTCTCAGCTGCTGCGTTCCAGTCCTCACTGCCCCCTCCCTCCCTGGAACTGTTCTGGCCACTCAGCTCCATGGGATCATCTGGGCCCTGCACACTATGACACTGGTCCAGGCTGCTTGCCCGGGACATGGCTCCGTGGACGCAGGTTTGTTTCTGTCTCACCCTTATATCCGGGCTCCAGTCGCCCTCCCTCACTGGACTTGCGTGGCACAATGCCCTGTATGCCCCAGAGGATAATGAACCCACGTGCTTTAAAACTCGAGTTCTCCTTAAAGCCTGTGTTAAGACTTGGGTCTGTGTCAAGTTTTCATACAAAGGTAAACCTCAAATGACTTGAGTGTCATTCTGACAGATACCGTCTAGTTAATTGAACAAATTAATTTCAATTCAGGAAATGTACATCAGGGAGTATTCTGGATTCAAACTCAGGAGTTCAGGATGGCTTCCAGAGGGAGAAGGGATTCCTGCCTCTGGCTGGTGGGCTTGAAGCAAGCCTCTGTACCAGGGAGGCCTGAGCAGCAGGTGGTTTCCAACACCACTGGGGGGTGGGGGTAGGGTGGTTTACCACCTACGGCGACAGCCTACACCATAAAGGGTGTCCAGCTTAGAAACAGCTCTGGGCCGCAAATGAGGTGGGACATTGTCAGGACCAGGTGGCCCTCAGCATTCATTATACTACTCCACCTTCTTCTATGTATATTACAAATACTGCAGGGGCCGGCGCTGTGGCGCAGCGGGATAACGCCCTGGCCTGAAGCGCTGGCATCCCATATGGGCGCAGGTTCAAGTCCTGGCTGCTCCACTTCTGATCCAGCTCTCTGCTATGGCCTGGGAAAGCAGTAGAAGATGGCCCAAGTTCTTGGGCCCCTGCACCCACATGGGAGATCTGGAAGAAACTCCTGGCTCCTGGCTTTGGATCGGCACAGCTCCAGCCATTGTGGCCAACTAGGGAGTGAACCATTTGATGGAAGACCTCCCTCCCTCCCTCTGTGTGTGTGTGTGTGTGTGTGTGTGTGTAACTCTTTCAAATAATAAATAAATCTTTAAAAAAAATTCTGCAAAATAACAGCACAGCACAGGGGTTGGTGTTTGGGTGCAGTGGGTTAAGCTGCTGCCTATGATGTTGGATCCTATATCACAGCATCAGTTCAAGTCCTAACTACTCTTGTTTCCAGAATCACTCCCTGCTAACTTACCTGGGAAAGCAGCAGAGAAGAAGGTCCAAGTGCTTGGGCCCCTGCCACCCAAGTGGGAGACTCAGATGGAGTTCTGGGCTCCTCGCTTCAGCCTGCCCCAACCCTGGCCATTACAGCCATTTGGGGAGTGAACCAGAGATCTCTAACTCTGCCTTTCAAGTAAATCATTCAATCTTAAACAACAAAAACTATATAGCACAACAACTTTGTGACGAAAGTGAGGCTTCTGCCCAGGAAAATTTGACACCGGAAAGGAAGCACACAGAGAGGTCATGCTGACAAAGATATATGCTTGTTCCTTCACTACAAAGTGGCATGCGGCAAGTCAGAGGAAACACAGCCCCCCATTTGGCTCCCAGGTTACATCTTCCCAGGCTGACCCAAAACCCCAGGTGCTCATTTTCCTAAAGCACACTCCTCTCCCTGGTACCTACAGGAATTCAGTACCTGTAAGCTGGGGCTGGATGGGGGCTGTCCCCTGCTCGGGGTTAACCCATGCAGGATGACCAAAGGCTGCTTTAAACGCTGGAAGTGAAGGTTGGCAGGGGAGGCCAGATGGAAGCTGTGACCCTTACCTGTTAAAAATGTCATCATCTTCTCCTCCCCAGCCCCAGTAATTATTAGGAAATCCGTTGATGGCGAGAAACTGGTCTTTACTCAGAGCCGAGACACCTCCGAAATACTGCACATAAGGTAGGCTAGGGAAAAACACAAACAGAAGACCCGTGGTCAGCAGGTTCTGACTTCCCAAAGGAAGCCTGCTGAGGACACACGCTTTCCAAGTGATGCTTCACTCTCTGGAACTTTTTCATGGCGTTCTCAGGTGTTTTCTTTTAAACCAAGGCTCAGATGTCTCAGAGAAGACACCGATAGCAGAAAGTAGAGTCTTCCTCTTTCCAAGAACACAGTGCTGCTTCTTCGTTTATCAGGAAAACCAGCTGGTGACAAAGTGGGTGTAAGCCCAGGTCACCCACAGAGGCCTACAAGTCTGCTTCCCACGTGCTGTGCCCCTACAAACAAAGTCCTTACCCAGAGGTCCTGGAATCCCAGGCGGTCTTAGGGTCCCCCCATGCCAATCCTGCGCTGCCCCTGGCCCCACATACCAATCTACCTCTCGCCTTCCAAGGGCGTGCTGGCTTGAACCCTGCCCCAACAGTCGAGGCAGCGCTTCTGAAAATCTGCCACAAAAAAAAAACCATTTCTTTGAGATTTCTACTTTATCTTGATTTAGCAAAATGCGTTATGGTCAGTCAGTTCTTACATATTTCTAAGTGGAGGGCATCTGGGCCCTCCTTCCTCTAAAGCTTTTTGTGTTTCAGTGGTTATGAGCGGCAGACTTCCGAGGGACACAGAGGAAGAACCAGGACATAGGGCAGGCGGTTGACACAGTGGTCCAGCTGCCTGGGACACTCGTGCATCCCAGATCTGATGCCTGGGATCGAGTCCTGCCTCTGCTTCCAGTCCAGCTTCCTGCTGGTGCATCCTGCAGGGCAGCACACAATGGCTCAGGTGCTTGGGCCCTTGCCAACCATGTAGGAGACCTAGAGAGTGCCTGGCTCTTGCCTGTGGCCTGGTCTAGCCCTGGCTACTGCAGGTATTTGGGGAGTGAACCAGTGGGCAGAAGATCAACCAATCAATCTCTCTCCCCGCCACTCCTGGGCAAAAATAAATAAATGAAACATTAAACAAAATGTGCCACAAAGGCCATGCAAAGGTCTTCCTGTGGGTCCTCTCAAGGCTACAGTTCTGTGCCAACCTCGAGTGCAGCTCCAAACCATACCTGGGCTTATTCTGGACCTCACGGAGACCAAAACCCACTACACAAATTAAGAAAAACTCTTAACTTCAGGGGGAAGTTATCTAAACCATACGAAAATGAAGATGTAATTATTCTTTTAGAACATACTCTAGAATTCTGACTGCAAGTATCCACAAGCAAAGATCCCTTGGGGCCTGCTTCAATGGGTCAAAGGTAATCCATTTGCAATCAGGCGTCACTGCTCAGGTGCCAAGTCATCCGCCTGCTGGCAGATCTCACACTGCTTTCCACACCCGACATGTGAGGCTTTCAGCGAGAGGTAGCCAGACCAACAAAGCTTTTTGATAATCAGTGTTTTTAAGCAAACAGATTCTTAGCTGCTTCAAAGGAAAGTACCTGCCCCATCCCCCAGACCTGACTGGCTCTCTCCCTTTAAGGTAGAAAGTCTAGGGTCTGAACACCTTTGATATGGAGGAAACTCATCAAACGGTTCTCCATTCGTCTCTCTGAGCGACTAGAGGAACAAAAAGCTGTGTCTAAACAACAGGAGAGGCCAGCGCCGTGGCTCACTTGGTTAATCCTCCGCCTCCAGCGCCAGCATCCCATATGGGTGCTGGGTTCTAGTCCTGCTTGCTCCTCTTTCAGTCCAGCTCTCTGCTGTGGCCCAGGAAGGCGGTGGAGGATGGCCCAAGTGCTTGGGCCCTGCACCCGCACGGGGACCAGGAGGAAGCACCTGGCTCCTGGCTTCGGATCAGTGCAGTGCCGGCAGTAGCAGCCATTTGGGGGGTGAACCAGTGGAAGGAAGACCTTTCTCTCTGTCTCTCTCTCCCACTGTCTAACTCTGTCAAAAAAAGAAAAAAAAAAAAAAAAGGCCAACTGAGGTATGGGACTGGGCCTAAACCAGGGTGCCTAGCACTCAGAGTCCCTGCCTGCCGCCCCGGGTTTACCTGAAGCAAGGAAGGGAAACGTTATGCTGTTCGACTGACAGGCAATTTAAATGGATTTTACGTTAATACAAACATGGATATATGATGGAACAAAAATGCAAATTTATCTACTTGCTTATTTTTTAGCATAAAAACAAGGGACTTCCAGACCATTTTTCCACCCAAGACCATACGCTCTGGATTATTCCCTGACCCCTGGGGACAGCTGCCAGCTGCCTTTCGCTACGAGCATTTTGGTGTCGAAAGCTCGGCTGGAACTGATGTTCCTTCTTAAAAGTCCCAAGGGACATGTGCTGTGGTATCGGAGCTTGAGCATTCCAACTGGCTTCCCAGACCAAGTGGGCCGGCGGAGGGAAGACAGCGAAGAAATATAGCATCTGTTTGGAGCTGAAACACGAGAGCCCTCCCCGACGTTCAAACTGTTCTTGGGCATCTTCAGATTCCTCCTCTCTTCTCAAACAGTAACTGCTTCTGACTTCAAAGGCACCCATTTCTCACAGGAGCCCTGTTCCCTGGAGCCTCACGACCACAACAAACCAGAGAGATAGAAAAACACATAGGGTACTGACTTTGGCTGCATATCTCTTACCTAAACCCAAACTTATCCATCGCAACAGAAATGTGCCGCGGCTGGGAGAAGCACCGGTAGGCGTTATGGTCGTCCATGGGAATGAGGTCCACGTCACTGAACACGAAGCAGTTGTAGTCATAGTCCTTCAAGGCCTCCTGAAAGCCAATGTTGAGGAGCTTGGCGCGATTGAACATGGAGTCTCCTGCCTGGCACAGAAACAAAGGGAAAAGCCACATCATGACACGTGAAGGCCCCGGGCAGAACACTCATGGGACCAACGACTTGCCCTCTGCACGTGGTCACCAGTCTGTCTTACGTGATGCATCAATACCCAGCTGGCGGTCCCACCACCAGGAGTTCATCCCGCAGAAGGCGTCGCACGTGCACAAGTCACTATGAACAACACGGCTCGCCAAAGCCAAAGTTGACAAGGACAGGGACAGAAGCGTCGCTGGGAAGCTGGTTAAAGAAGTAACGGCCCAGCCACACAATGGACCACAGCTGTTAAAAAGTACACAAGGAAGTCCTAGCAGAAAGGTGTTCAGGCATTTAAACACATGCGTCATGTTGTTATATAGACCTAGACACTATAAATAGACTTGCCCGTGACAGCTGGGTGCCCGTGGGACACTCCCTTCTGCCCTCTGTATCTGGCTGACTCTGGCTCAGTGCCCACATGGCACTAAACTAGGCACCAGGGAAATGCAGTGAACCCAATTCAGTCTCTGCTTTCACGGTGCTCACCACGCATGTGTGATACATGCCTGGACCAAAACAGGGTGTACGGGAGAGGCAGAACCCTAGGCCTGCAGGTGCAACAGCACTTCACATTTTATGTAATTATCTCGTTGATTTTTCAGCCTCCCCCATTAGAATGTGAACTCAATGAAGATTGGGCTTTTGTTTTTATCCACTCCGTGCCTTGAGCACCACTTGTCATAGGGTAAGAGCTCAACCAAATGGCTGCTGAATGACTAGATGAATGAATGAATGAGTGAATGAATGAATGGACTAACGGATGGACGGGTTTCAACATACAACAGCACATGGCTATCCCTTCTGGTAAGCTCCAGCCAGGGTTCTGACACGCTGTCTGCTTTCACCAGCTCCTCAGTCTCAACTCAGTAAGGACGCGCCCAGCACAGGCGCCCCGCCCTTCATGCTCAGTTCTCTCCTTCTGCCTCGAGCCCTCCCGACACCAGCACAAGGATGCTAAGGGCCAACACGGACCATGCAGCCTCTGCTTGGTGCTCTTCCCATATTCTCTCAGGACCTAGGACGTCAGAGCCTTCAGGACCGGGGGAAAGCGGCCCATGGGGCCTCCAAGGGGTGCACCATCTCCAAAGCGGAGTGCGCAGTCTCTCCCCACATGCTGAAGACAACCTGGACACGGGCACCACACCGTACGCCTGTCTTGAGTCCAGAGTGCACGCACACCGCAGCTGCCAGGCCGCGGGGCAGTGAAGCACTTACAGAAATACAAGCACCAAGCACCGGGCAGCCAGGACATGCCCCACAAACAGCACATCAATCAGGCAGATGTCCCACAGGACAGCTCTCTAACCACGCGTGGTGGACGGAGGTGGCCGTGCCCAGGGGTGCATCCCGGGCGCTGGCCGCCCCACAGGTGAACTCTGTTCAGCTCATTCTGTGGAAGCTGGAGAGGGCAACGAGGTCAAAGGTTAGAAACTTCACGTGAAAACCATGGAGTTGTTGGAATGACTGGTTGTTAGCACAACCACATATGCTAACGTTCATCGGGGCATCAGTCGCCTGGCCCAGGATACCTGGTTTCACATCATCATCTTGACAACCTGGGAACCCTCCTCGCATCGACACAGACCGACATTTTCAAACACAGATCTCTACTGAACACTTTCAGTAGGCGTCCCAGGAGAGCTTGACATCGGCATAAGGAACCCCAGAGCGTGGCCTCCCAGCTCACGACAACGCTCCTTTCCTTGAACGCTCCCTCCTAACTGGGGCAAGGGGCTCCCGCTGGCCACGATGATTTGCTCTAAGCAGATGAACGCCTGAGATTGAGCTAAACAATTTTCCCTTCCCGGGAACTGGAAATCTGGAACCATGAACGGCCACTTCTGAGGCTGATGCTCGTGAACAATGGCGAAGTCCAAGAAGTAAACCTGCTTCCACCCCTATTTCGGGACGCAGACTTGGAAGTCCCCCCGGTGCCGCAACAGCCCCTGCAACGCAGTACGGCGCCCTGGTGTCTGGCCTTAGATCCGAGGAGTGCACACTTGCCCCCTGCTCCTCCCAGCCCGGCCTCACGCGGTGCTCCAGGGAGAGGGAGCCACGTGGTCCACTCTGGTGAGAGTTGTTACCCAGCAGGCCTCTGGGGACACCAGACAGGCAAAATGGGAGACAGGGAAAGTGTTATCTTCTTCCTCCCTTGGGATTAGAGAGACATGATGCATTTCCTAGGCTTTTTCTTTTTTTCTTTTTTTTTTTTTGACAGGCAGAGTGGACAGTGAGAGAGAGAGACAGAGAGAAAGGTCTTCCTTTTTGCTGTTGGTTCACCCTCCAATGGCCACCGCGGCTGGCGCGCTGCGGCCAGCAAACCACGCTGATCCGATGGCAGGAGCCAGGAGCCAGGTGCTTTTCCTGGTCTCCCATGGGGTGCAGGGCCCAAGCACCTGGGCCATCCTCCACTGCACTCCCTGGCCACAGCAGAGAGCTGGCCTGGAAGAGGAGCAACCGGGACAGAATCCGGCACCCCGACCGGGACTAGAACCCGGTGTGCCAGCGCCGCTAGGCGGAGGATTAGCCTAGTGAGCCTAGGCTTCTTTTGGTGGAATGCAGCAAGCTCTGGGTGCTCCAGGTACTCGGTTTTCATGGTAAGACAGGCCCTGGCAACTCCCCGCCCCCCACCCCACCCCCTCTGCATGAACAGGTGCTCACCCTCCCCAGCGGGAGGGAAGACTCCCAGCCCTCACCCTGCTCTCCTCACAGCTCCGCCACAGCATCTGCTACTCCAGCTGCTCAGGCCAGGCCTGTGGCACACCAACTGCCAGGCTCTTGGTGTACCAGCGATGTGGCATTTGGCACATCACACCTCCAGGCCTCACTTTGCTCATCTGGTGTCACGGGGATGATGACAGGTGCTTTGTAGGAAGTGAGAGGATGCATGCAGAGACATCAGTGAGCGGCTGGGCGGCCCAGGTCAGAGGCCACCGCTATTCCGGGAGTTGGCTTCCTCACCCTTTTTGGACAGTCAGAGCCTTCCCGGTGCCTCCCAGGGAGCCACACTGGGGACCTGCTCTTCTCAAGGTCTGCGTGTGACCTTTCCAATCAGCTTCCAAATTCCTCCCCTAAATCCTGCTTCTCTGATGGAGGCGGGCGTTTCTTAAAAGGATTAAGGCTCCAGCAAGTTAGCCTGTGGTTCACAGGATCAGAGCCTCCCGCAGCAGCAGGGAGCCAGCAGGGTCTTCAGAGAGGCCCACCGGGAGCAGGGTCCCCTTGGAAGATCCCGCTTTTCGGGTGTGAGCTTCATGTTGGTAGACAAGAGTGAACGTTATCCCTGCCTTCTAGCGCAACTGGCTGCTCTCAGAGGGAGAAGACGGGAGGAAAAGAGGTAACGGCAAAAGATAGCTAAAATTGCCAAGTGCCTGGGCCGAGCCCATCGCAGGAAGGGGACCAGAGAGAACAGGGAGGATCAGACCGTGCGGACCCGCGGCGGCGGTGGGGCAGCTCTCCAGGAGGAAAAGGCACTGCAGGCTCAGCGTGTGTGCAAAGGCTGCGAGCAGAGGACGCTGGGGGAAGGGCCAGGACTCTGAGTGGACAGCAGGCAAGGGCAGCATCCCCTCTGCCCTCCGAAGGTTCGCAGGAAAAAACTGGTGACAATGAAACGCAAGCGAGGCACGCGGGACTCACTACCGGGCAAAAGGCAGGGCGGCACCGGAGTGCTGCGCGCTGGCCCACGGTTCTCCAGAGGCTTATGCACCTGTGTCTGCAGGGGAGGTGGAGAACTGGGCGTGGACAATTCTGAGGGGAACTCGATGGGCTTGGCGAACACACAGTGGCTCCTGATGAATGAGGGTCTGTAAATGCTTCTCTTTGGGACCGAAACAGAGGACGGTGGTGTGTGACGAGTCTGTCCAGCTGTCCAGACAGACGTGGGTTAGCTAGGAAGAGCTCAGGGAAGGCACCACAGAGCCCTGCTCTCTTCCGTGGGGGTCCAGACGGTGAGCAGATGGGAGGAGATCCAAGGAACACCTCTTTAAGCATCTGCTGCTCCTGGGGCTTCTTTGGCTTATGATAGCCAGCATACCTGGGTGCCCTGTTCCGGGCAGACAGTCCCTATACGCCCTCAGAAGCCTCGATGAGGTCTGAATTGAGAGGTGGGCCAAGTCACGTCACAAGGGGGAGGCGGGGGGTGACGCTAGCTAAGATACTTAATCTTTTATTCAGGCCACAGGGAGCCTTAAACTTTGCATGTCAAGGACGGATTTGTGCCCCAGCCCGAGGGAAGGCAGGGAGGCCAGCTAGGAAGCTGTCGTGCCACCTGTGTGAGGGACACGGGCTTAGTTAGGTGCAGACAAGGTGTCTCTCTGGGGTTTCAAGGCAGAGGCTCCGCTTCCTCTTTCAACAGCTCACCTGCTCCCTGGGTCTGTGCACTGCACTCACAAACCCTTGCCTGGGGGACATGGGGGTCAGACAAGTACAAGTCTGGTCCAATCGCGAAGGAAGTCCTCACTGGGGTTAAGGCAGGCATGAGCGGGGGCAACAGGGGACAGATGGCTACCTGCACGAAGGCTCGGCCCTCCAGGGCCCACCCCCCAGCTTTCTCTGGAAGTGCGTCCCCTGTGTATTCAGCAGCATACTTTCAGACCTCAGCGGCTTGGGGACTGGCCACACCTGGCCACCTGGCCTCTCCCCAACCAGAAGACAAAGCAGCAACGAGGTCCGGACACATCAGCTATGACTCAGAATAAATGCAGATTTCTATGTCGGGTGATGGGAGGGGCGGTGCTGTGCGTGCACACACACACACACATGCGCGCGTGCACACACACACACACACACACGTCTGGCCCATCACCAAGCCACGCCCCACCTCTAAGCCTATCGTTAGCCCTAGACAACACCCGCAACAGCACAGACCCAGAGACAGGCCTGCAGCTGTGGCAACATTGGCTGAAACGCCCACCGCGTGCCTTTCTGTGCTGGCTCAGACACCAAGGGAAAG